ATAATCTATGTTGTGTACTCCTCCACTAATAGGTCTCTCTGTTGTAGATAATGAAATCTTGAAAAAAGATCCTAATGGTAGTGTGGGGATAGTTGTTATCGCTGCAACTTTATCTTCATCTTCTCCCAGGTGTAATATTGCTCCTTCTCCATTTCTCTCCCTCTTCAGGTTCTTCCACCGCAATGAAATGCTCTTCTTCAGCTTGATAGTAGCTGCTTTCACTTTTTTTTGTGATTTGACATCTTGTATTCAAAGATCCTCTTGACGGTCTGCAACCACTCTATGAAATCATCCGAATTGATTCTCCCCTCAAATTCGACAATCCACTTTCACTCCCGAGTCTCTGTATCCTCCAAAAGTCACTTCATCTCTGTATCCTCCAAGAAACACTTCATCTATGTATTATCTAACAAGTACTTCATCTGATGTAGAGTGAGAAAGAAAATTTTTGGGCGGAGATAGAACTGAATATGGGTGGATGTTAGAAACCCCAGGATAAGACTATGGTTACACTAACTCTGATATCAAATAATATCAGAGTTAACCCAAAACAATACAAGGAAAACAAATATTATTATTATAAGAAAATAGATGATTAAGACCAAACACACTTAAAAGAAAAATATAACAACAAACACAAGCAAAACACCACAAAAGTGCATCTCAAGGGTGTTGGAGGTCGACTAGGCGGATTAAAATGGCTGGCAAGTGTGGCGGTAGCAAAAGAATGTTGGTGGCAACAAGGGGAATTCTAAATCCAACTTGAGGTGTAGTCAAAACTGCTCATTGTATTCCTTAAAAATTGCTATGCCAACCTTTCCAATTTTCAAACACTCAGACACAGGTAACATTCAAATTTTTTAAATTTGACGCTGGCCCTTGGTCTGGCTGAATCGGCCAGGGGTTCAACAGGGAAGGAGTCTCGGTCCAGCAGGACGCTGGACTGGCCGACTCCTTCAATGGGACGGGAATTGTAAATTTTCTTTTCATACAAATTAAATACTTAAAAAGTGTAAATTACTAAGAATAAACTTAAAATATCTAAATAAATTACAATAATCTTGATGCACGACTTATATTGCATGATAATCTTTGGTATTCCTTGCTATGCTTGAGATTGTTGGTTTAATAGTTGTCTAAAAAAATGGAGTGCCACTGCCCAACTTGATCCCCAAGAGGCTTACAGTCCTTATCACGCAAGGGTTTGAAGATGGCCAATTGATCTTGATGGGCGACTGCCAATCTTCATGAATACTTATATTTTTTTGGGAAATTTAGATGCATACCACAGAATTCTTTTGTATTTACATATCTAACACTAAAGTTTGATATTTACAGTCATAACAAATTAAGTGTCATAAACTTATGCATGAAAAGATGAATTTCATTTTAATAATGTTAAAGATTTGAAGGTTATGCATGTAAATATGAATGTTTAGGTTTTAGATACGTAAATACATCAGAATTGTGTGGTATGCATGCAAAGGCCCCATTCCTTTATTTGTCTATTGTTATTTTGCCACAGAATGATGGAATTGGGTGCTACCTCTGTAGCGGTAGTGGGTGGTTGATTTGTGATTTCTGCCAAGGACAGAAGACAAATGTGAAGTCCGAGAGTAGCCGTTTCTATCGTCGCTGCCCATATTGTAAAGCTGTAAGTTATATGAAACTAATTGCATGCATTTTTGCAATTTTATTTTATAAACTTAAAAATGTTGTGATAAAAATAGTTTTTCATATTATTGACAACCACTCTAAAAAAATTTATTTTTCCCACAATAATTTCACCATTAACTTTACAGAGAGCTGCAATAAAATCCCAAACGAGCTCTTAGGTGATTCAACATTACCTTTTCTTTTTTTCATGCCATTGAGAAAATCACTAAGCTTTGTAATTATTGCAGGTTGGATTAGTTTTGTGTCCAAAATGCAAAGTTTTCAAGTGCGTTACCTTCCCAGATTTGAGCGATGGTCAGCTATAATTGGAACATATTGTAAATTTTTTTTTTTTTTCATTATTTGTCATCTCCTTATTAACCTTAGTTGAGGTACAGTTGCTCTTTGCTTTGTGTAATTGGTCAGACTTGTTGAATGAGTCTGAATTATTCAAGAGCTTGTCTAAAGTGAATACTGCAACGTCATTATAATTGAATTAAAAGAAGTTTACAAATTTTTTAATGTATTTTTTGCTTGCATGAACTAGCTGTAGTAAATACAGGATGTGGCCGGCAGTAAATTGATCTATCAGAACAATCACGTTCATACGTGCGCAATAAAGAAACCATGGTCAGCTTAGCAGGGTGGACTCTATTTTAGCCCAGATGCCAGTACAAGTGTTCACATTTTGTTTTCATTGATATAGTTATTTTAAATCTTAATCGCCTGAAATTTGTGATCAAAATTGAAAAATATGAAAAATAGATATCGTTCTTAGAAGAACAGCTCCTCTTTCCCCCTCTCTCTATATGAAATACATGGGGCTGTTTTTTCATAGCTTGAAAGAACAATGAATCAGACTGATTTCAGTTGTCTGCATATACCGAACTACAGGGATTTAACAACTCATTGGTACAATAAGGCTAAAATTACAATTATAGAGAGAAAATGTGGCTTAACAATTGCTAGAAACAAATAGAGGTGCCAACAGTAAGAAAGAAGATTTGCCGTGCAGAGCATTCCAACCAATAACATGAACGAGACAATCTCAAGATGAGAAAATGCAGTCTTATTTTATTTCAAGTAAATGGGTGTTTAGAAACTTGGTTTGGATGATCAGGGAAAGTGATTTATTGATTATATGCTTGAATGCATAACACATTGATAATGAGTAATCAATGTACCAAGCTTGAATAAGAATGCAAACGATATTCATAACTGAGCAACTCGCAGATGTGGCAACCAACTAACCAGAAAAATAATAATATTATTCTTAACCTCATAATTTAAGAGGTTTCACAATGCTGAATCAGCCAAGCATTCCTCAAAAGAATGCAAACAATATTCATCCCTCCCTCTTCTGAAACTTATGATCCTAAATTTTAATTTCTTAGGATCAAATTTTATTAGGTTTAAATTGAGAGAAATGCGAACACGCACAATAAACACATTTAAACTCCAAATTATGGCTTGAATTTAAAAAATCTTAGCTTTGGAATTGAGGCTAATTTGCACTCAAATTAGTCTCGATCTTGCCGGAACCGGCCACAAAGTGAAATACAGCTCCTTTGCGCATTCTTTTCTGCTTTTTTTTACTTTGCAAAATTTAGTCTGTATGGATAGGGAACCAATTGAGCATCACTGTAAGACAGACCAATAAAATTTATAACCACAACATAATATTAATTGCCAACAAAAACAGATTTTTAATAGCGAAAAGATAGCTACTAATAAACTCTGGTGCATGGTGATCAGACTCGTGTACTAAAAAATATGAAATAACACAAAATTATTTTACAACAATAATAACTATAAAAAATGACCCTAGACAAATTCACCCCTAGCAGTTTGAGCAAGGGAGATCACGACGCAGCTGCAGAGGCCACAACATCCTCTGAGTCCACCTTTACCTGGAGCAAATATCCACAAATCAATCCTCAAATCAAATAACCAAAGGCTCTAAATGAATCTAAAGTTTTGAGTTGTGACCTGGCTTCAGCTCGTCTCAATAAATGACATGTGGCTCATCAATTCATGAATTAACTTGTTTAAAGACTATTAATATGAAATGCGTTTAAAATATATTCAAAGTTAAGTAAAAAACTATTTAAAATATATAATAATTCTGCTTAATTTAGAATCATTTATCCTAATCGATTCGACTTCATGTAATTGAGATCATACTTGAGTTAGATTTCAACTAATTAGTTAAGCTCGAGCCGTCCAAGGATGGCTTGAACTTGATTGGACTAGTTACAAAAATGACAAATGCCACAACGTTTGTTGAACTGATAGAAGAGCAACCTTGATTTAAAACCCCATTCCTTGGAGTGTCATCAGTCTTCTTCAACATATGAGATCAGCCTGCATACTACAAGGTGGAATGTTGGAAGAAGATATGAATACCTGTTTTAGGTGGTTTAACAAAGCTCCCTGTAGAAGACTTTTAAGCTTATCACACTGCCCGACCATATGACCAGCACTACACAACTCCTGAAGCTGACACCAGAGGCGTTCAATTGCAGCGTAAGGAAACCAGATGGCGGACATCTTCTTCCTTTTGATTGCATCGGCAGCACTCTATCAACATCAATTTGGACCAAAAATATTAACCATTGCTAAATTAAAAAGTTAGCATCAGTCCAAGTGGCTAATTACCAGAGTTGCAAAAGATTCAAGGTACTCAAGCAGTAGATTTGTAGCTTCAGCAAGCCGACCATAATCTATGTACAGTCGGAATAGTGTAGCAGGATCTGGCTGCTGACCTGTCATACCCCAAGAGCTTGCCTTTCGTCCAGCCTAGTATGGGACAATGAGTGAAATAAAACGGTAATCTATAAACCACAATACTAGACTGCAAAGTAAAAGCAAGCATATCAAAAAGGATTATGAGATGAAGAAAAAAAGTGAAAAGATTGCAGTGTGGATTAAAATAAGAAAATAAGTGGAAAAACTGCTCTCTTAATAAGACAACAAAGGATACGCTGATGCAGGGGATGGGGACCTGAATTGGTCAAATGGTTCAATAGGGAGGCTTAACCGGGCCCAACTCTACTTGGGGTTGGGGCAGCCACCCAAGAAAGGGGTCCACGAGTATTCATCATTATAAATAAATTATTTTGTGTTAGTGACGCGGGGCACGGGGGAGGACCGATTGGTCCTCAAGGCAGTTGGGGGGGAAGGGGGCGCTGCAGCCCCCTTCTTGCCCTTCTTCCTTTCCCTCTTCCTCCCCTTTTTCCTTCCTTTCATCCTTTCCATCCTAAGCACTTTCCTATTTTAAATCCTTTCCTAAAATCTGAAATTCTAATTTTATTCTCCTTCCGTATTTCAAAACCTTCTCCTAAAATCTAAAATATCTTTTTATTCTCCTTATTTTAAAAGCCTTTCCTAAAATCTGAAATATCTTTTTATTCTACTTACATATTTTAAAAGCACTTCTCCGCTCGCTGTCCCCCTTTTGAAAGTGCCGACGAGCCTTCTCCACCGCTTCCCCACCTTCCAACCTACTTCCCAGCCACCCAACAAATCTTCCTGCCACCTTTACCTGCTGCCTCCCTCCTCCAGTCCACCTTCCAATCCCTGTCGGCCCCTCTCTCGCATTCGTACTTGTTGTCCCAAGCCTCCGGATGCACCGGGCCAAAATCCACTGCCCTTAAGATACACTTTCGAGGTGTTGGCATGTGTCTTTGTGCTTGTTTTTCGTTTATTTACTGTTTTGAAGAATCGTAACCAATTTCAAATTAAATAATAATATTTGTGTTTCTTTTGTGGATTGGGCTTTCAACTCTGGTATCATTTCTATGGTTTCTAGCATCCGCACCTATCTAATCCACCACAACAATTTTTTTTTTGTTCGTTCTTTCGTTTTTTTTTCTTTTCTTTCTTTGTTCCTTCTTTCTGTCCTTTCACAAATCTCAAAATCGTTAAATATGCCGCAAAGAAGGAATTTGCCCGAGCCTACCCGAGAAGGGACATGGAAAGAATTTCGTCGCCTCCAATAGAGGCCTATGGATATTAAAGAGAAAATCTAGTGGGAAGTTACCCTCGATGGTGATCTAGAAGGTCGAAGGGAAAAATGAGAAAATATGAGGAGAAGCAGAAAACACAGAGTTGCTTCCTCTAGCAAAACCAATATGCAAGTCAAGTTTGTGACAACCAGAAAATATTGCAAGTGTCATAGATTTAAACATGTAGAAGCAGAATGTATAACTAGGGGAGTGATCTATTTTACGGAGTAGAGCATTGTTGAAACCTGGGGTAAGGACGTCATACACTAGAGAGCAGTTCGAACAAGAATTTTTATCTGATGACATCTTCCCCCGTGGAACTCCCATATTCGTGGATGCATCCAATGTCTTTTCTAAGGAACATGCGACTTTTGATGAGATTGTGATTCCCACTCTTCTAGAAGATGGAAAACTTATTGTTGAGACATACAAATTCCACACAGATCAAAAGTGTCATAATTTAAAATTTCAGTGGATGATCTTAGTAACGATCAACTAATAGCATCACAGGCAGTTGCACTTCTAGCCCTCACCCCAATATTCCACATGAAGAGACGAAAAAAAAGGATGAAGCTCTTGTTATTGGAACGAGACAGAAGATGTCAGTTTCTCGAAACTTCAATGGTCAGAGGGAAGACCCAAAAGACAATAAGAATCACCCATTAACAAAACTCTTGCAAACCCTTAAACCAGCTGAGGCCCAACTTTTAATAGATGAGAAGCATATGAAATATTTACTTGTTCAAATTTACCTCGGAAGAACCTACGTCGATGTGTACCTTCAACTTAGATTATACCAAACCAGAACAGCTCGATAGGGGGATATGCTTGAAGGTGGAAAAAGCTCCTCAAAAGCGTTCGGAGTCAGGGTAGCCGTCAGTGAGATCCAGAAACTACCACAGAGAAATAGGATCTTCGACAGATGAAGTCGAAGCTTTTTCAATCTTGGGAGACTGACGCAGGGCTCGGAGGAGGACTGACCGGTAGCCAAGGGAGGGGGGCTGCTACCCCTCTTTCCCCTTATTTCTTCCACCCCCCTCCCCCAAACAAACACTTTCCTTCGTTTCATCCTTTCTTCCCCTTTTCTTTTCTTCCTCACCTTTCCTTTCTCTCCCCTAACCTTTCCTACCTAAGCACTTTTTTTATTTAATCCTTTCCTAAAAACTGAAACTCTACTTTTATTCTCCTTCCTTATTAAAACCCTTTAATAAAATCATCTTCCCCCATGGAATATTTGTGGATACATTCGATGTCTTTCCTCTATGTGATCAAAAGGAACATACGACTTTTGATGAGATTGTGATTCCTACTCTTCTAGAAGATGGAGAACCTATTACCTCTACCTAACCCCTCACATATTCCTCTCCACTGCTCGTTGCCTTTCGACCTACACCCATCCTTTCCTGTTCCAGCCTCCAATTCCTAGCTTCCATATCGGCTACCGCCTCAGGATCCACCAAACATCAAACTTGCCCCCAACACCCCCACACATATTCCTCTCCACTGCTCGCTGCCCTTCAATGTACGCCCATCCTTCCCTGTTCCAACCACTATTTCCCAGCTTCCATAGCCACTAGGGTTGTAACCGAGGGCAGATTGTGCTTCGACTGTATCTTGCTCCAATGTTGTGACCCTCACATATTCCTATCCACTGCTCGTTGCCCTTCAACCTACAGCCATCCTTCCCTGTTCCAGTCTCCATATCGGCTACCGCCTCAGGCTCCACCAACCATCCAACCTACCCCCACCATCCCCACCCCCCTTAATGCTCTCCAACTGTATCGAAACCCCCTCTTCTCTTCCCACCGCCCATTACAACCAACACTTCTACCACTCGCTGATGCCACCACAATCCCCCTCCTACACCCTATTCATGCTGCTGCCACCTATCTGAACTCTCTCACCGCTGTCCCCGGATTATCTTTTCCAGCCCTAGCTGGATATTAGAATTTTGCTCTGTTTTCTGTTCTGAATCGAATCTTGAGTGTAGCCCCATTGTTATTTGAGCAATAAAAAACTGCTTTCATATTGGATTTTGGTTAACTCTGGTATCAAACGCGTAAGCACAAGAAGATGGGTTACTTTGGGGCATGGTGTAAACAAAAGCCTTGTACATTTGTAAAAATCTCCAGGGAAATAACCATACTATTATTTGAAATTTTCAAACGGGATTACCTTGAACATATTCACGAGCCAAAATGGCAGCTCAATCTGAGGATCACCATACAGAAGCGTTTCAGCTACAACAACAGGCAATCTCTGGTGTATCTTCTTATATTTCTCCTGCAGTTCATACATCATCATAGACCATTACCAAATTTTATTTGGGGAGCAGGTGAAAAGGAACCACTAATGGCATTAAACCTTGGTATGAAAATATAGAAGCGCTCAAAACCTGCCTAGGCCTTGCTAGTTAATATGCATATTGACATTAAAGTCACTAAAAGTGTTCAGAAATTTTTGAATCACAATTTCAGAAGTCACAATGAAGTGGGTTGCAGTATTAAGTTTCATATTTGCCCATTCTCAAAGTAAATTTTAATAACTTTATTATTATTGTTATAAGTAAATGTAATATTCTAGTCCATCACCCTATTAATTTAATATTATTATATTACTATATAAATTAAAGAAGCAAAGTTTATATTTATCAAAACTGAAACTTTATTCTCGTTTTTTGAAAGCGATTTTCAATAATGAGAAAATTTCAACTAAGCAAATATTTGAACTTTTGAAAGCAAGATCCAAGCATTTCCCAACACTTGCAGTGAAGCAAACTCCCCCATGTATAGGTATAATTCATGAATCTCACAATCCATATACAAGGAAAACTCGCAACGTAAGGTGAGTATAAATCAACAAATAGCTGTATTTTATGCAGTTTCTCAAAATTGAGCCTAATTTTGAAGTTTACAAAGCAGACACCTAACTAAACGGAAAACAAATACAAATAACATAAAGAAAATTTAGAACACTAGATATGTTAGGATACAAAAACCATGGCTTGCTAAATGTTTCATAAGCATATTTTTAGTTCTTAAGAAATTCCTAATCATCACTTCAAAATACATGTTTTAACTTATGTGTACTTTACCTCCATATCGAAGTGAAAAAAAAACAAAATAGGTGGTGTACTGCATTTAGTACAAACTAGGATATTAAAGGCAGCTAGATATTAAATATGCTGAATGCTTCAAACAAATAGCATAGAACTTAAAGTTAAACGACAATCGATCTTCCAAACCTTTAATAACAAGAAGAATCTTTCAGTCAACTGACAACAGTTTCTGAAATGTTGAAATTCAGAATAATCCAGAATAATATTATTGATATGAAACAGGGGAATAAATAACCCTTATATGAATTCTAGAATAACAAGTAAAATAAAAAAGAAATAGCAGGAAAAGAAAAATATAACACCTATATCTCTAATTAATCAATGCATATTAATTATTTGGAGACAAAGTAAACAACATAAAACATAAAATAAAAAATAAAATAACTCCAATCTAAGGAAATAAATTTAATCCTCATAACTCTAACAGGAATAAATTTTCTAATATAACTTCTAATACTTCCCCTCAAGTTGAAACACGGTTGACAACCATGTTTAACTTGGATTTGAAAAAATCAAACAATAGGGGAGAAAGAATCTTTGAGGTGAACTTTAAGTATTCATCCCGTACTTGATAATCAACCCCAAGTGCATTTAGGGATATTTTTAGTTGACTGCAAATGCCTTCGACTATAGTTTTTACAGTGTTTGTAAATAGACAAAAGACACCTACAGGTAATGCTATAAAGAAGTAGCAACATACAAGAAAAATTGACTCTAGTCAACTGCGGTTGACTTTGATTGTAGTTTATGCATGTTTGTAGGTAGGCGGAAGACTTCTACAGGTAATGTGCAGGGAAGTTTGCAAGGAAGTAGACAACATACAAGAAAGTTGCCGGGAAAAAAATCCTGAGGAAGGCCTACTGCAGGAAAAACCTTGGAGAGCCTGTTAAAGAAAAAAGCTCTTGAGGAGCGATTATTGCGTGCGGAGAGCGCACGCAACTCTGCGTGCGCTCTCCACACGCAATAATTAGACCTAGAGGAGATACTATTGAAAAGTTCTAAAAGGTCTTCTAAAAAAAAAAAAAAAAAACATCGGAGGGTCGATTGCAAGAAGAAAGTTTCAGAGGAAGGCCTACTACATGAAAAAAGTTTCGGATGAGAGTCTACTGCAGAGAAGAACTCCGGAGGAGGGTCTGCTGTAGGGAAAAAAAGGAAGAACACCTAGCAGTGATTTTCATTCCAGATGATCCAAGCCCACACCACCGCAAGCTGAGATGTGGCTCATCTTAACAATAAGCCTGAATTTCTCTATGACAAAGAGTCATTGGAGCTAATGATGGTTACGACACCTTTTCCACTAAGCACGATCAATTTTTGGGCAATAGCATTTGTTCCAAAAGCAAACTTCTCAAACTCAAAATCCCCCATGGGCCCAATTCCAAACAATGGTGTTAGCGTTGTCAAGAGTTGCGTTGAATGTCTCAATGGAATCTGATCCAACGTCAAGGCCCATCCAACCATCAGAGATGGCAGATGTTGGCACAACCTTGCTGTCGACATCAGCTGCAGACTTGTCTGCCACAATAACATCAGAGGGTAACAGGAGTTTCACTCCTTTCAGCTTTGCTTTCTCAATAAGAGCTATTGCCACACCAAATTTATCTTCCTCAACAAGAGATGAACCAATACCAGCTTATACTGAAGGGTGACCACTCAGAAGAGACTACTTTTTCTTCTCTAAAAAAACCTGGATCCCACTGCAGGATGTTCCTTCCTACAAAGCTACTAAGGCAATTTCCAACACAGTGGCTTATTTATCTTACCTGATTAGCTGTTGGTGGGTATATTGCAGAAGTGAATTTAATATCACAATGACTACCCATGAACTTCTAAAAGTGGCACAAAAGAGTCTCGTCATAAACATATTAAACCTCCCTTAGTAGGGGAAACTCAGGAAGTAGCCTATATATTTGAAAAGTTAGATTTTTTTTTATATGGGGTAGCCTGTGTCAGATATCGGCTCCTCAAACTCATGACCATTTTGGACATTCAACACCAGCCATGCTAATGCTCCTATCAAAGCCCGCAAAACAGTAGCTCGAAGCGCTACAAACTCATACTCCGTTTGCACACTCATTACCTCCGACTCACTATGATATAGGAGTTAACCTAAAACATGACTAAAACACACCTAACTTTTATTGATGAAATAGTAAAAGACGAGTACAAGGACGCTTCAGAACCAACAAGAACTAAAAAACAACAAGCACGACCACATAAACAATAAAACAAACATACCAACATTAAAAAAAAAGATAGTGATTGTAGGACATAGGCTTAATAACATATCAGAAATAGCCTTGGACAACGTCGACAACCGACTAAAAAGTTACTCAGGCGGCTGGGGAGTAGTCAGAAGCGGTTGGACGTTCCTCGGAGAGACCTGTGGTTACCTGAGGGTGTTGGGATGTGACTGCGAAGTGGCCTAGGAATATCCTTAAGTACTGATTGCTAGTTGTAATGCCTAGCAGAGGACTGGTTGGTTAATGGAAGTTCTGCGACGGACAGGAGAAGCTATGAAAATGAAAGATAGCGCCAAGGGGAGTTGTGGAAGTGCGGAGGTGGAGGAAGGATGATACCGGAAGGAGGAAAGGAGTGGGGATACACACTACCTTGGCGGGATACAACTGTAGCACCACATCCCCGAAGGATACAGTCCTCGAATAGAGGGAACACTAGGGACAACACCATAAATCAGAAACACAAGGAAAAAAAAAACTGCTTAGACATCAAAAAACAACATGCATAAATAGAGAAGGGAGGGAAGATAACAAAGGCAAGATTTCGAGAAGGAGAGAGTAGAGAAATGGAAACTTCGCAACGGTTAGGAGGAAGATGATGTGAAGGAACGGCTGGGAGGAGGCGCAAGATTATGGCACAGGAGGAGTAGGCAAGCGGCGCATACGATGCGGGATGGAATAGTGCGAGCGAATAAGATGGATCGACATTTTAATTTCGAGGACCAATCCGGTCCAGAATGAATGGCTGGACCGGCATGCTCCAAGTCGCGCCGGCCCGATGCGTTGAAGCACGGGGAGCATTCAACGTCAATCTCCTGGGGTGGAGGAGCTTCGCCATCATCTGTCAAAGCTTGTCGGTCCTCGTAGTATGGGATGAGATCCACGACATTGAATGTCGCTGAAATTTTGAAGACGCTCGGTAGGTCAATTTTGTAGGTGTTGTTGTTTAGCTTTTTTAAATAGCAGAATGGTCCATCAACCCTGAGCTTGAGTTTTCCATGTGCTCCTACAAGAAACTGCTCTTTTTTAAGACAGACCCACACAATGACTCCTTTAAAGGTTACCTTTTTTTCGGATTTTATTGGCTTGTGCTTGATATTTTTAGTATTTTTGAGAAATTGCTTCCCCAACTTCCTTGTGAAATTGCTGGATTTGGCAAGCACGTTTTGTAGTATCCTCGCTAATATCTGTTAAGAGTATAAGTTAAACCAATTCAAGGGGTATGATTGGGTGCGGCTGTACATAATTTTCAATGTCATGTGTCCTGTGGTTTAACTTGTTGATCTATTGTAGGCTAATTCGGCTTGAGCAAGAACGAGATCCCATTATTTAATGTTTCTCCCAACGAAGCATCTAAGAAGATTTCCAAGGCTCCTATTAAAAACTACTTCAGTATGCACATGCGTCTGAGGATGTGTTGTAGAACTAAATTTGAGTTTAGAACCTAATTTGCTCTAGAGGGTTCCCCAGAAGTGGCTCAAGAATTGAACGTCCCGATCGGAAGTAATGGCCTTAGGGATGCTGTGGAGTCGAACTATTTTGCATAAGTAAAATCGGCAAAATGTGAGGCATCTAACATCCGCTGGCAGACAACAAAACGAACCATCTTAGAAAAACAATCAACTACGATCATGATAGAATCCTTATTCCTTTGTGTGTGAGGCAGTCCTAAGAAAAAGTCCATACTAACATCGACCTAAGGCGCTTCTGAGACTGGTAAAGGTGTGTATAATCCAGTATTTTGGCTGCATATTTTGGCGATATGACAAATCTTGCATTGTCGAACATGCCGCTACACATCTCGTGTTAGTCAGGTCCAAAAAAAGTTCTCTCACAAGCGTGAGGGTTTATCTCTGCTAAAATGTCCGGCTAATCCGCTACTGTAGTTCTTTTAAATGATAGTTTCGCATAGAGAACATCAAGGA